CATTGCTCCAAGTGGCGGTAAAAGCTTTCTTCTTCATGCTCTTCTTGTTTTTCCTTTCACCCTTTTTCAATTTGGGACATTCATTTCTATAGTGCCCCATCTTGTTGCACTCATAGCATTTCACACTTATTTTGGTAGACTCTCCTTCATCTCTTTTTGCAAGCTTGTTCTTAATGTTCTTCTTCATGAATCTCTTCACTTCCTTTGAAATCAATTTGGTGATGTCCTCTTCATTGCTAGACTCATCATTACTAGCATCATCTTCACTCTCTTCCTTTTGGTTGCTAGCCTTGAAAGCAACATTCTTCTTCTTCTTCTCAACTACTTCGACTCCACCATCAACTTGAACTTCTATCTCATATGTCATCAATTTGTCAATGAGATCTTCAAGCTTAAGGGTGTTGAGATCCTTAGACTCCTTAATTGCGGTCTTCTTGGCTTCTCAATTCTTGGGCAAAATTCTAAGAACCTTCCTCACTACTTCTTGAGAAGGATAGACTTTACCAAAAGCCTTGAGATTGGTGACTATATCATTCAATCTTGTATACATATCTTGAATGCTCTCCTCCGGTTTCATCTTGAAAAGCTTATACATGTAAATGAGTCTATTGATTTTTGACTTCTTCACTTGGCTTGTTCCTTCATGTGTTACCTCCAACATGTCCCACAACTCCTTGGCTGTATCACATCCGGATACTCTATGGAATTCCGTTGGATTGAGAGCACATTGAAGCATATTGATTGCTTTGTTGTTGATCATGATCTTCACCAAGTCTTGATCTTCACCAAGTCTTCATCATTCCATTCAACTTCTTCCTTTGGCACCTCACTTTCCCCAACTACTTTCATAGGCACATATGGACCTTTCATAGTCACAATCCATGCCTTGGGCACATTTGCAAGCATGAAGACCTTCATCATATTCTTCCAATAATTATAATTAGTACCATCAAAGAAAGGAGGCTTAGTGGTAGACAAACCTTCAAGTGGTTGAGAAGCTTGAAATTGAGTCATCATTGATCAACTCCTAGGTGGTTAAACCTTCAAATTGGAGCTCTTGCTCTGATACCAATTGTTGACTCAATGTACTCCAAGAGGGGGGTGAATTGGAGTTCCAAAAATTCTCCTTTTTGCAACCACAAAACCAAAGTTAAAGAAAAGAGAAGAAGAGCTTGCTCAATGATTTATAGAGGTTCGGTCCAACCACTTGGAGCCTAGTTCTCTACCTTGGCTTCACTCACCAAGGATTTCCTCCACACTCTCCACTAACAACAACAAGGGTGGCTTAAAAGAGTCACTCAATTCTTTTTACAAGAAGATGAGTATTTCTCTCAAACCTCACCCCTTTACAATGTAAACCCCACGAATCCTCTCAATAGATCACTCTTGAAGGAATAATCACACCCCCAAGATCACTCACAAATAGAACAAAAAGAGGATTACATGTAAGATCTCTCAAAGATCAAAAACTCAAGTTAAAGCTCATGTAGGTAGGTAAAGATATTCAATAGAATACTCTCTAAACTTGTTCATATATGTTATCAACCATATTTATAGCCCCTTGCTCGAAAATAGCCGTTTCTAATCGTTGGGGGTCATTAAATGCCCTGCAGGACACAAAGCTCGAGTTGCAGGATTGTCAGGAGAGCCGGCTTAAATTCCTAGACCCGGCTCTGAACAGCCGACTCACAATTTCTGCAGCTGGCTTTGCGAGATTCCTGCACATTCTGTTTTCTCGAGAGCCGGCTGCAAAAATTTGAGCCGGCTTTGGAACTCCGACTTTAAATACATTAAATATTCTTCAAAAAAAGTCGACCGTTGTGTATTAAATGCACCCTCATAGTCGGCTACAGAGTTGGAGCCGGTTCTGCTTCCATTTTCTGCGCACGCCAAAACACTAGTTGAATTTCTTGCTTGTAGAGCCGGCTCAACAAAATCTGCAGCCAGCTCTTTGCACTTTTGCTTCCCAGAGCCGACTGCAATTTTCTTAAGCCGGCTCTATGCATATTTTTACCCTTTGAGCCCTTTTTAATGTAATCTCATTTTGCTTACTTTGCAGTATATTGGCAATTTAATTACACACTTAAATAAATTAATTAGTCACACAAATGTGTTTTGTAATCATCAAAATCATAGGTACAACAAGCGGGGATGTTCCCAAGGTCTTATCCTCCATTTGAATCTGAATACAACCCCCATCTACTTCTTTATTGGTTTCCCTCTTGTACTCATACTTACTTGATGCCCAAAAGAAGGCCCCTAAATTCAGGGTAGATATCACCAGAAGGAATCCATAATAGTAGTCCAAGTGACTGTCATTCAAGTTGTCACCAATCCAGCTCTTGTGTGCTCCCCTCCCTGTAATTTTGTCTACCATTGTCATCAGGAAGCTGCTCAGGAAGTTCCCAATTCCAATTCCACTGGTGAAGAATGTTGTGCCCAGGCTTTGCATCTCCTCTGGGGACTGATCATAAAAGAATTCCAACAATCCAATGGCATTAAACACATCAGCCATTCCAATCAGGACGTATTGAGACAGCAGCCAGAATATGCTCATAGGCACAACGTCTCGAGGCCCTACTATATGGTACACTCTTATCACATGCCTCCTCCGGACCTCCACAACATATGCAATCCCAATAGCTATGCTTTGGATCACAAATCCAATGCCTAGCCTTTGAAGGAGGGATATGCCTCTAGGATTTCCCATTTTCCTGCGCATCAAGGGCACGAAATAGCGATCATATGTTGGCACAGAGAGGAGCATGGACAGGGTCACGAAGCTTCCAAGCGATGCTGCTGGAATTTGGAAGTTTGAGCCTAGCCTTCTGTCCAATGTGGTGCCCTGTTTGACAAAAAGAGTGTTGATTTGTGCCCATATTGTGCTAGGAATCAAGGTCACCACCGATATCAGTAGCATCCCGAGAACAAGCTTGGTCCCTTCCACTTGAGTTATGGTGCACGGTGGCCTTGAGGCATCTTTTACTGCAGCCTTGTCAAGGAACCTGTGAACAACGATGTAACTTCTTTCTGCACTTAGTCGTCCATCACTAGTTTTTATTTTGTTTAATATCCAACAGACAAAGAAATCAATACATTATCTTGAAGACACCACTAGGAATATGTTTTACTAGTGGCTAATGATTGCATCATAAGCACTAGCTAATATTAATTACTATAATTCAAGTCATTTTCAAGCCTTAAGAGTTGCTACTCCAATGAAATGAAGGAATATTCAAACGCAATGTGTTTCACAAATTATTTGTCTGGGTTTGATACTGTGGGGAGCATTTTAGGCCCAACACTACACTCAATATATCAGAAACAACTTGACCAAAGACTGAGAGGAGATATATCAAGATCATCCACTAAAGTTGTACCTAAAAGCAGTATTTTAAACTTTGCGCATGGAAAGAATTTAGTCAGCGAGTGGCTATCAAATCCCAGAGAAAGCCCCACTTTTTTCTTTGGCATGGTAAATTTCCTAGTTATGCACATGAATATAGGTCCACCTTGCACCTGCTCTTCCCACCAAGAGTTGAAAGCACTTTGGAATCCTTACAAAATACTTAGATTCCTTGCCTCAATGATTTTATTATAATTAGTCATCTTGAAGCGTTGAATTTATTTATAGGTAAATAATTAAAAACTAATCAGACCTTTAATTAATTAATTATATATCATAGTAGAAGTGAGAGGGACAGGTCACCTGAAAATTGGAGTGTGACGGACCTG